AGTTTAAATTATCAGTAAACTCAATTTCAGACCATTTGAAATTCTAATACGTAACACTCAATATATATTTGGCCTGCTATAAACAAATTTTATATTGTTTCACTTACAGATTTAGTTTGTGTATCACTAATAATAATAAAAACAAATTTAAAAGAAGATGTCTACTTGGGTTGAAAAGTAGCATCTAGTCCATGGTTTAAAATATTAAGCATGAATCAGAATAATGGAGTTAAGCTGAAGCTATGCCTTGTTTTGTGACTGTAACACCCATACTTACCAAACTTCTTTATTCTAATACATTAAAAAAGTGAATGTTGCAAACCATTTCCTTAGAAAACATCATAAAGTCGATCTCATTAACTTACAGGTGGCGCTGCTAGTCCAACTCCAATGGTGTTAACCTTCTTCAGCATATCAGTCTTTTTTCCGTTTCCACGGACATTTTCTTACAATATAGTTTTGTAAATTTACCGATAGCTGAGTTGCAAATTGATATAAATCTAAAACTCCAAACCTCTCCATGAAGTAAACACACTTCTTGAGAAAGTCCCAAGGTCATGAGAATGAAACCGTGCCTATAGCCCCAAACAATTTTGTTTTCCGTTATTACTGATAACTAAACCCAATTACGATTATTCAGGTCACAGAAGTCGACGCTGTCTGTCCTTGGTGTTTATTGGTTACCAACCCCGTTAAATAAAAACTATGCACATCTGGAAACTAAAGTTCAAAGTCTAGTAATTTACGTAAAATGCATAACCTTGTGCTAGTTTTGGAATTTATTAAACTATTCAATAAACATCGAAAGTTTTTGAAAGTGTTAGATGGTTGCTGACAAGTTATCTTTCTGTGAAGCCTTTACAATCAAGTTTTCTTTGGTCATTACTCATTAGACCGCGACAAATCTGTAAAACGTTTTGGCAATTAGCGACAGCAATTTCAACGAAACAGTACCTTCCATTCATCAGTCTAACACCTTGCAAGTTACAGTATTCTTTTACATCTCTCTTTGGATGAGCATGATTATTGCACGTATTTGAGACACGCACCACAAAACCAGTGACAAAAAAATCTAAAGAGCCTTAACAAATTGCCGCAAGGCTCACCTTTTAATAATAGGGACACGTAACTATCCCATAATCTAAAAATTCATTTGAGATTGATCACTGAACAATTTTGAAACAATTTGTGAAAATGACGTTTTTTTAAGGCGTTAGCATGTCACCTGTATAATAATATTAAACAACTTGAAATTATCACACAACTTCGACGTTACAGTTCCTAATTGTACTGAGCTCTCACGCCCAGTTATAAATTTTATTTTCCTATTACAAGTACATAATATTATTTGAAAAAATAGTTGGCTGATAACGTGAAAAGGCTTGCTTAGATTCTCACACAATATAGGTTACACGAACAAACAGTCAATATGAAAGAACGTGAAGTCCAAATTTCACACGTTAAAATAGTAAGACTTAGCTGAAATCAGTTCTTGCCTTGAAACATAAAACTGCAATGTTTAACTTATAATTACAAAACTTTATTTTTGGTTATATTGTGCGCTGCATTCTATTATAATTACTTAATTACTCTGAAAATGATTAAAGTTATCTTGGTCAAACAGTCGGGAACTGTTTATAATTCCGAATTTATTAAACTTTCCAGAAATTAGTTCAAAAGAAGCACGAGGTCAGTGCTCAAAGTCTGTAAAACGAACAAAATTGTACAGGCGTTTAAATAAGATGACAGACAGTCCACATAATTAGAAGGATAACTATTCCTTACTGGAAACCAACACAAATATTACTATTAGTGTTACACTTAAGCCAGGGCGAAACTCGCATCTTTACAATAACTTCGATAAATCACGTTAACAATACCGGTTGTCACAATAAAACTTGAGTAATGAAAAAATATAAAATATCTAAAAATTAAGGAAGAAAAACAATACAAAAAAATCGTCACGAACGTTATTATCTGTACGAAGCTTGAAATCGAATTAATTTTATAAAAAAATCACCTTTTACAATTTACGATCAACAGATTATCAACAAATACCCGTAAGAAATTTCTAATCTGCTCCCCGTATAGCAAGTCATATAATCTAAAATAAAATTAAGAAAACATTTTATAGGTGTATATTTTTAATGCCCATCATATAATTGCAGACCTACAATGTTTATTTTTGTGTATCAACTGGGTCGTTTGTACTATTATATATATCATGCACGTATGCAGGGGGAGTTAGAGGAGGTTTCGCCAAACCCCACATTTTTGTGATGTAAAAAAATATGTTTATAGAGTTATAGCGCAATTGCTTATGGTATTTAACGTTTTCTACATCGTCCACATTCTTCTCATGAAGTATTAGCATTTTTTGGCTTGAAATAGTCACATGCAATGGCTTCTGTCGACACTTTGTAATTGGAAGCCGTATTGCTAATGTCAGGTTTCGTTGGCTGGATTCTTTACAATTAGGTGTTGGTGCCTTGTTGGTGATAAATTTCAACAATAAACAAACAGCAGCACTGTCTATTTGTTTTAAAATAATATATTAAACAAATCCAAACGTATATACAAATGTTCGATACACTGTTGGTTATGACAGTTGTGTCCAGATCTTTAAATAATTGTCTCTTTTTCGTCAAAGTCCACACAGTTTGATTCAATTACCCGAGGTGAACACAAACCGAAGAAAGACCGAGTGCTCTAGCTTTAATACATAATTATGACAATCCTATCAACACTGAAACTGTATGCAAGTTATTTATGGAGAATCACTCCAAAAGAATGGAGAATACTAACATGTTATTTCAGTAGTGCATACATGTATGTATATGATAGTCAATGATTGAAATAGTTAATATACTATTGTTGTACAGAGTTGTTTAAATTAGTAATATAATCTAACAATTAATAACTACTCTGCATGTAGATAGTACAGGACTTTATTATATTAAACATACATATTTATGGAAACTTAAATCTAGCTCCCCTTGCAATGTTATAGTAGAATGAAGATTCGACTTTCCATTGGATGTTTGTGGATTTTATGTGAACAGTGAACAGCCATACGATTGTTTAAGCTACATGTCACCCAAAATTGCGGATCCTGTTTCATGCACCGCGTTCAAATAGAAAATAATATATATTTTTGGATGTAGTTTTTAATGCTGGTTTCAGAAATATAAATTAAAATTTGGAGAAATGAAAAGAAATATTTTTTATTTTGCTAGGTTAGGTCAGTTTATGTGAGGTTAGATAAAGTTAGACGAATTAGTAAATAATTACATGAATATTTAAATAAAAAAAGAAAATATTTTCCCATTTCTTCCACTTCAACAATTTGAAAGTACTTGGAATGTGGTTAAGAGACGTAACAAATTCGTTTGGCGTCATATGCACGAAAATTATCTCTTCAAGTAAATATTTAAGAATATTTCTGAATTCTCATATTGAATTTGTTACATTGTAACTAGATACTTTGTATTGTCTTGATGTTCTGTAAGTCATTTAAAGACATAGATATACATGTAATGCTAAAAGTACTTCCTTTGTTTTGTACGCAAAATAAAAAATACATATATTTCTTTCATTTCTCCAAATTTTAATTTATATTTCCGAAATCAGCATGAAAAACTACATTCAAAAATATATATTTCTTTTATATTTCAACGCGGTGCACGAAGCAGAATAGATCCAAAACTGGTTCCAGATTTAATCTCATAGCACCTATTATTTACAAGTTTTCTGGGGGCCATGCCCACAGACCCCCCGTAGCAACAACATCCTTTGCATGCTGATTGTACTTCACATAATATGTGTTGGCTTTCGATTTCACAAATTAGAACCACCCTTTGAAACATTTTGCGCACGGGTCTGTATATGATTATACTCAGTATCAAACTATCATACAAATCTGAATTTATCGGAAGGGGTGGAAGCTAGGACACTGGATACGTTATGGCCAACATCTCCCATTTCTTTTGTTTGTGAACTGAAAAAGGGAACCAAAAACTCCAAAACAGCCGTTTCCAGTAGTAAACAAATAATACTAAACTGGTTTTCGTAAATTTTATGTAATAAACACAAAGTAATAACCTTCCAAAACTATACTGTTAATAAGTGCCATTTAACTTTAATATCTTTCGACAAGACACCAGAAAGTTCTAACTTCTAGAGCCTACGCGCGCCTGCTGTACCTCTAGTCACATTCCTTTATAGGTGCTTGCAGTTCAAATCAACATCAAAAGTAAAAGGAGACCACGTTTAACTAGGTCAACATGGCAATGTTCCATGGTTTCAGCTTTCATAATATGTGTTGATACCATTAATGTATAGGCAGCTTTAATTTATGCACGAAGTTGAAAAAACAATCTTGCATAACCTGATTGGTGAATGTGTAACATTGAAATTTACAGTACTATTCAAATAAAAACCCTAGATGTATTAAAGTTGTGTAGCAAGAACGTCACTAGTGCGTGTGTGTGGCAAACACAGATTTACAAAATAGTGTTAAAAATCACACACTGGCTAATATTATCATACTGTAGACCTCATTTCCAATTAGCAAATTATACAAACTAAAATAATACCAATAAGGAATAAATGAGAAAAAAAATGTGCAGAATGAATTAAAGATCTATCCTATCTCTAAATTCTAGTTCTAGCATCAATAGATTGTGGCAGGCTTTACAGAAAATTACTTCTGTTGTGTTTTCTTACTACGTTTTCTAATTCGTATTGTACACTATAATCTCAGATAGTACCAATAGTAGTACTACTAGTAGCAGTACCATCCGAGTATATAATTGTTTAATCTTCCAAGTTAAACTCAAGTTTAGGCTTAGTAATACTAATAGTAATACTAGTACACTGTAAATGATCAGTAGTGAGTCAACTCTAGTACTAATTATGTTAAACGATTAATTATTTCAACTTATGATTTTTACTGTCTAAACCAAGCAAATAAATAGAAGAAATATAAAACATCCTCATACCTTATACTATAGGTAACTAAACCGCCGACTTCCTTACAAAAGTTCGTTGTCTTCTAGGCGTCCTAACCCTGTATTGAACAAAAAGAAGTATAACACGAGGAAGACAGATATCCCCAACACCGTCTACCTCTACGGCCTTACAGGATTAACCTAACTATGGTACTTTGAACGTCGACGAGAACGCACGGCAGTCACGTGATCGCTATGGTCGAGTCTACTGTGTTTCTTTGGGGTATACCTATGCTGTTATAGCTTTCAAACCTTTGTTTCCATGTGTACTATTTCAAAGCTAGATACAAATTGATAATTAGTTTAGTTTTTACAACATAAGCTAACTATTTTTTATGTGTTATAGCGTTTACTCCGTTTGTATAAATAGTTGCTTTAACCACGGCTAAAATTCAGATATATAAGAGAAAATAAATTTATTTGCTACGGTTCACTGAGTTAGCATACCATCATCAGGCAAACTGATTAGAATAAAACGTTACCATAGATATACAACAAAACTGACTACTGGCAGTGAATAGCAGAAAAGACTCCATCTTACAATTTTGTTTTAATAGAAAACCTATCAAAGATACCTGCCGCCGTCCCTAATTATGAACTACTGATTAGAAGGATGGTAGCCAGTCAGCAGCACCATACCACCCACCATCCTGCCTTAAGAGATTGACTAGCACTCCTAAAGCCCACAGCTTAAAGTGCTAATATTAATTGGTATCACAACGATTCGAACCTGGCTTGCTAAAAATAGATAAATAAATTCGCGCTCCGCACTTTGAGGCCGTGGTGGAGATGGTCAAATATCACTATTCGACCAGACAAGAACAGCTTAAGAGTTGACGGTGGGTACTCCTGACTAGCTGCTTTTTCTCTCATCTATCAGTTCAATATTAGATACGGCTAACGCAGATATCTCTTTACTATCTTTGTGCGAATATAAAAACAAATAAAAAATAAGCAAAATAATTTGATCTTTATCACACACACAATTTGATAAACTCAAAAAGTCTCTTGAAAAGCTCTCAGAGGGACAAGAAATCATTAACTTAATTTATCTCTAAAAACTGTAATATTTGACCAATCGATTAAAATTAAAGTTGGTAAAAGAGTAGCCCAAGAGTTGGCGGTGGGTAATGGTGACTAGATGCCTTCACTGTAATCTTTCACTGGTAAATTAGGGACGGCTATCACAGATAGCCCTCGTGTAGCTTTGCGCGAAATTCAAAACAAACCATTTTTTCAAACCCTTAAGTATAATCTATGTATGATTGACGTTTGTTATCTTAAAAAAACATAAATTTAAAGATCTGATCTGTACTCTTGAGAATAAAAAATACTGAAGTCAAAGAACATGCTCATTCTAACATCTGTATGGATGAAATATTATATTCCATAGTATGTTATGAGGTTTGAATTTTTTTTTCACCCATATGCAGAGAATACCACAATTAGTAAGGAGCAGTTTATACGACTTATATGTAGTTACCTTGAATACAATATCTAAATTAAATATTTCATATAAAGATGACTATTTAAAGTGTATGATAACGTTTATAGTTGTGCTCCCGATCTATCAGATGTTAGTCCATCTCATATCCAACGATCAAAGTTTATGTTCTATTATTTCTTGACATTTTCGTAATTGAAGATGTAGTGGCAGTTCTCTCATCTTCTGGCTAAGAGCTGATTTTCATAAATGATTAAGAAGAAAATTACCAAACAGCTAAGTCTACAAGTCCAGTTAAAACGCATCATGTTGAAAACGGTGTCTAGGCTAAAAGGTCTTCAACTTTAAAGACAAACAACATCCATTGACTATCTCGCTGGTGGTATATAAGTTCACGTGCCCGAGTTGCAACCACTACATTGAATCAACCACTAGAAGGCTCTGCAGTCGAATAAAATAACACTAAAATGCTAAAACGTACAACACCAATAGAATTACCAACTACTGTATAAAACCTACAAAACCAATAGTATTACCAATCACTGTATAAAACCTGCAACACCAGTAGTATTACCAACCGCCGTATAAAACCTACAACACCAATAGAATTACCAACCATTGTATTAAATCTACGACACCAGTAGTATTACCAACCGCCGTATAAAACCTACAACACCAATAGAATTACCAACCATTGTATTAAACCTACGACACCAGTAGTATTACCAACTACTGTATAAAACGTACAACACTAGTAGAATTACCAACCACTGTATAAAACCTGCAACACCAGTAGTATTACCAACCGCCGTATAAAACCTACAACATCAGTAGTATTACCAACCGCCGTATAAAACCTACAACACCAGTAGTATTACCAACCGCCGTATAAAACCTACAACACCAGTAGTATTACCAATCACTGTATAAAACCTACAACACCAGTAGTATTACTGGTACTAGTATTACTATTAACACCAATAGTATTACCATCCGCCGTATAAAACCTACAACACCAGTAGTATTCCCAATCACTATATAAAACCTACAACACCAGTAGTATTATCAACCACTGTATAAAACCTACAACACCAGTAGTATTGTTTGTTTTGTTTTTAATTATGCACAAAGCTAC